GGGGGGAGGGGGAGGAGGAGAGGTATCTCCTCTGTCAACTTAGGCTTGTGTCTTTCTTTGTATTTTGCCCAAAGAATGCCTGTCCTCTGAAAAACCCCAGTTGTAGAGGCAGCTGCCTTAAGACGGGAGAGTGTGTGGTGGGGCTGGGGCTGTCATGGAGGCCTGTGGCTCGAGGTCACTTTTTCTAGTAGTTAACAGGCCTGTGTGCATTCATCAGCTGACCTTTCCCCCTTACCTCCCAAGCCACCTCTAAGTATTTTAATCCCAAACTTCACACTCAGGCAGCCCATTGCTCCCTCTGACTATTTCCTGATTTCTGAGTAAGACCACCTCATTGTGCAATGAAATTAAATGCCTGTTGCTGCTGCTGCCAGTGCCAGCCAGATGCTTTGAGCCCTGAGGTGCTTGGAGCTCTCTAGTCTGGACCTCAGGCGCTTGGCTGGCCTGCTTCCTCTACCCTAAGTTCAGTATTTTCTCTCTCTCTCCCCCTCTCTGGAAAGAGGACTTCAAGATAGTTCCTTTATCTTCATTCTCACTTTCAACCTTTTACAGGGGAGGGGAGGTAGGGAAGACAAGGGAATGCCCTCTTCCCCTCCCAGGACAACTGAGCATTCCAAGAAAGAGATGAACTCATTTTGTAATGAAATAACGAAGTTCTGGGCACAGGTGCCATCACTGCTCTCATCGTTGGAATTTGCAGAAATAAAAAGGACAGGGCTTCATGGACCCACCTGCCTCCTCTTCATCAAAGCTGTGGCCCAGGTGGAAGGACGAGGGACAAGTGCTCCTAAAAAAAGGCTGAGTATTTCCCAGCAGTTCATTGAAGATGTTCTCCGCTGTTCCATGAACTGACCCTGAGGTTAGCCTCATTACCCTTTTGATGACACAGGGCCTGGAACATGACAGTGGATGGGACAGGGTCCTGTTTTGCCACGTGAGCTGCCTCCCTGACCAGAAAGAGGACTTCATTCCCATTAGACTTGTAGAAAATAATCTCTCATTCTCATCATTTTCTATTTCAAGCAACTGCAGATGAGACAGTTTTGGAGGCAGCTCAGAAGGCTTGGGTACTGGGGTTATACCCAAGTGTCAGCTGTGGGGAGCTGGTCACCAGTTGAGCTTAGTGTAAAAGGACCAGCTGGGTGGGGTGATGGGAGGGGCAGCATAGGGATCTGAGGTAGGGAGGGGGAAGGTGACACTGGGAAGCCTGGCTTCCTGCCTTGTGCTCCCACGCACGTCACTCCCCATCCACACTTAGCCTTGGTTTCCTTCTCTGCTGACTGAGGTGCTGGCACCAGCTCCTGGGAAACTCACCTGCACATGTGAGCATGTGTGTGTGTGTGTGTGTGTGTGTGTGTGCGTGCCCGTGCACACGCACACGTGCACACAAGTGAGCTTCCCTGGCCATGCTGTGCAAATACAGGTGTGAACAGACTCTGACTGTGAAAGTACAGGTCTGCTCTAGGACAGGCTCACCTTTATGTGGTATAGAGGAACCAGGAACTTGCCTCCTCTCTAAGGCCAGACATAGGACCCCAGGAGATCAGAGCTGTGCAGCCCTATCTTCTGATTATGGGGAAACAGAACCCAGAGTAGGTAGGCATCTGGTTCAGGGCTTAGGTCGTCTGGCCACTTCCGCCTCTGAGGTTAAGAGTAGCTCTGATTTTAAAGGGTCAAACCCAAGGTCCCTCCCTGCACCTGCTTGGGAAGGAGTTTATCAGGTTTCTGGGCAGTAGGAGTCATGAGGGGAGAACATATCGTTGGCAAGGAGTCATCCTTATCTTGTGGTTGTATCTACAGTTTTATAGTTAATAAACCCAGTCACTTAAGTGGTCATGTTTCACCCCATAAGAATCACAGAGAGAGCTGTGCCAGGTGCTCACTCAGCCTTCGCAGAGGGAAATCCAGGGTCACATAGCTCAAGTTGTTTAAATAAAAAGAGGAATTAACACTGTAACATAACATTTAAAATGAGACAAACTTTAGTTCATAAAAGGATATATTTTTGATGCTTACAACTGTCTAAAAGATCAGTTTGTTAAGTGGTGAGTTCCTTGTCCCTGGGGGTATGTAAGCAGTGTCTGGGTATCTGCATGCTGTGGTTACTGTGATGGATGTTCACGATTAGATGTGGTTAGAGGACCTCCAAGGGGTCCAGGATATGGATCTGGGGTAGGTGGGGAGGAAGGTGAGAGGAGGTGGGGCATACCTGCGCTTCTCATTCCAGGCATTGTACCACTTGATGAACCTCTTGGTGCTCTGCAGCTTGGGGTGCAGGCAGTGCTCCTGACCCCGGTACCTGGACACGCTTTTGGTGGTGATGCTGAAATGGAGTGGGATAAGGTAGAGGATTGAGGAACCTGAATGATAGCCCCTTAGTGTGGCCTGTGGGTAGCCCTAGTCTGTCCCAGTCAGGGCACTGAGAAACTGTGGCCTCCTCCCTCCTTTCAAGGGAGCCTACCCATATGTTTACTCCCTGGCTGGCTCTTTGGAAGGTTCTGGTTGTCCCCTTAATCTCTGACTCTATGTTAGGGTCTAAACCTGTACTGAGTGATCGGCTTTCACTTTTTCCCCTGGAGCTCTCAGAGTCTGGGGATAGTGTCTCTCCACCCTCCACAACCCTTCACCCCCACCCCCATGCCAGGTGTTGTCTACAGGGCTCAAGCCTCCCTTGGAGAACAGAGGTCAGAGGACTCTTCCAGTTCCTCTGAACCTGGGGTTGAGAGGTAGAGAGAGCTAATGCCAGCAAGGTGTGCATGACAAGGCCTCTTTCCTTAGGTTTGAGTTGCTCCACAGCAGGGCATGGACATGCTCTGCACACACTGTGGTCTCCATCTGATCCTTCAAACCCCAGTTCTCCCCAACTCCCTACAGATTATCTCAGAGCTGTTGATCCTGAAGCTAAGTCTTGTTGGCCTTGAAGCCCATTATTGTTCCTGAGCTTGAAGTCCCAGCTGCCTCACCCTTGGGCAGAAAAATAAGACCTCTCTTTAGGCCTCTATCAGCCAGTGGAGGCCCAGCCATGCAGTAGAGAAGCAGGTGGCATCGTACAGAAGGTAGGACTTGGGTTTGAATCCCAGGTCTGTCTGTGGGACCTTGGGTAACCTTTCTGTTTCCAGTTTGCCCATCTGTAAAATGGGTATAATAGTAGGACCTACCTCTTAGTGTTATTGGGATGACTAAAGAACATAACCTATGCAAAATGTCTAGCACCTGGTAGATAGACAATGAATAGTTATTGTTATTAGTAATTGTCATGGAAGATGAGGTGGCAATGGAGAGAAACCTTAGTGTGTGAGCCCCAGCCTGGAGGGGGAGGTGAGACTACTGCCCAGAACTGTGATGCTTCTCTCAGCCAGGGCTGGGCCATGCTGGCAGGAGTTAGGAGGAAGCTTCTGGGTGGGGAAGGAAGAGGTGTTCAAGAATGAGGGACCACCTAGGGGACATGAAAAAGTGGAAGGTGAGAGGTGAGGATGTCATTCCCTGAGAGATCACAGCAAGAATAAGGTATGGGGAGGACTGGGGTACTAGGGAATGGAGGGTGGGGGAAGAGGGGTAGTTGGAGGTCCAAGTAGGAAGAGAGGGATGGGAGGGAGAGATCAGCTAGTTCCTGCAGGTTCCCAGAGATAAAGGCTTAGGGCTTATGTGCCAAGTCTAGAAGGGATCAGTCTAGTCGAAACTTGCCGCCAGAATTGGGGCAAAGTATTCGTGGGCCACCTGTCCTCTACCTGCTCCTGTGCTCTGAGTTTCCAGAGTCCCCACCATAGCCTAAGCTTCCTGGGGGTAGAGATGGGTCTTCCACTGATGCTGGGTGACTAGGCCCTGACTTCACTGGCCTTCTTTATGAGGGGCCTGTCACTCCCCAGGTCTTATCCCTCCTTTGAGGTCTGGAGCATGGGGTCAGGCTTCAGAGTGGAGTCTGGTCATTCTCCTTCCCTGTGGTACCTAGTCACTCTGCAAGAATTTAGCCCATGCACTGCTTTCTCTGCCTCCAGTGCTGTTCTTGCACTTGCAATGAAAGGATGTAGCAAGACCTGAGAAAAATCCCTCCTCAGTTAGGTCAGCTTGCAGGCTGAGAATCCTAAGTCTGAGGACCTGAAGGTTGGGGAGCAGGAGAGGATGCTTAGCCGTCCCCCACAGACTCAAATGCTCTGTGACAATACTGGACTATGAAAATTGGTTGTGGGGTGAAGACATGAGGATTTCTGCCCCCAGGAATTACTTAGAAATTCTGGGTCCTGAGTCCGTCTCCTCAGTGGTTCTGGGGTGCCAAGGGTTTTGGCAAGAGGTCAGTGGACATATGACACAAATTGCTCTTTATACAATCTGGACTCTCCTGGGCCCTTCTAGGTGCAGGACTCCCACTTGCAAAGCAGACAGCTCCCCTCTCCCGCCCATCAGAGATTTCTGGGTGACTCAGGGTGAGCTGGAAAACTTGCTTTTTTGTTCAGCCTGTATGGCTGAAAACCTTCTTTGGCAGAAAGTTCTGGCCCTTCATCTGATCTAGAGTCTTAGAAGCTTGAGGGGAGAGGACCTCCAGCCCTTCAGGGATGGGGGTTGTTCTGGGTGAGGGATGGAGGTTTAGGAGAGGGTGACTGCATGTGGATCTCATGACGCTCCTACAAGTTTTCACAAGGCTGCATAAAGCCTTCTCATGCACTTGCCTGTCTGTCAGTTTCCTCTCTATTTTGAAAAGTTTAGCCAGGAAAAAAAACAAGCAAGCCTATTTACGTTCTGTCCTTTCAAGATGTCACTATACCCCACACCCTGCTTCTCCTTCCCTGAAAGGTCTCAGCAACTGGACTTGGTATGTGAAACATTTTTTTTAGCAGTTCGAGGACTGCAAACTTAACTTTGCAATGTCCCTATCAGTTTTCAGTCGCCAAGCTGTGAGCCAGGAGGGGCTTTAGCACCTCCTTCAGCTCCTGTGACCTCTGGCCCCCACAAGAAGGATTTTCTGGATGGTCCATAGGGAAGGGGCAAGGCAAAGGGGCAGGGGCAAGAGGTTAATTTAGGTGCCCAGGAAGGAAGGCAGTGAGGTTCATCCCAGGCCAGTGGTTCTTTGAATTCCTCCAACTTCAGTGCGACTATGCAGCCTCCAGGTAGCTGTGGGGGTTGGGGACTGCCTTTGCAGGCACTGTGGCCTTTGGGCCAGTGGGGCCAGCGGCTAAATGCACTTGCCCAAACTGAGAATAGAGTGTGTCCTGTTTCTGGGGGAGGGGATGAGGGGCCAATGATCCGTGGCAGATTTTTGGTAGCTGCTTTGCCAAGGGCTCCCTTCCTGGCCAAAAGCATATTGATGGGGAAACAGTGGTGCTGGCCTCAAGTGGTTAATTGGGAAAGCAGAGGAGCAAGGAAACTCAGTGTTCTCTCTGCCCCAGTTTCAAAGATATTTCCCACATTCCCACCAAGCCGCGCTCCAGCCATGTGGCTCATTAACCCCAGCAGAGCACTTTCCAGTCCCCAAGAGTCCAGCTTGTGAAGGAAGAGTGAGGATCATTCTCAACATGAAATTGCTAGAAGCCAAAAACTGGCCCTCCATGGTCCCCTTATTGGGAAAAGGCTCTGAAAGGAGGGTCTGAGGAGTTATGACAATGTTTACTTTTATCCTCTCTCCAGTAACAGGAAGGCAGCACACCTCACAGTTTGGGTGCAAATTCAATAGTTTTGGGTGTGCTTTGAGTGCTTTCAATCCGTGTGTTTCCGAGCTGGCACAAAGGAACCATTTAACCCTTGATCACCCTAGAAAGGTGGGCAGTACAAACTCAGGGCTATCCATTTGAATACGAACAGGGGTGAACTCTGAGAGGCTGTTTCCAGAGCACAGGACAGTGACCCTCTTTCCAAACTCTCTTCCAGACTGTCGTGCCAGAGTCCTAAGGACTCACTGGGTAATTACAAAGGCTCTGCCAAGGCCCTGCCAAGGCGGAGAGAAATGTTTGCTAGCCCGACCCAGCCCCATGCTGTGCCCCAGCACCAGGTTAAGAGCAGCACACACACGCTTGGAATGGGAACTCACATAACCATCTTCTCCTCGCAGTGCGGGTACTTTGGCTTCATCTCCAGCTTCTTCACGTCGCTGTAGCGGATCTTGGGTCCCTTCCGGGAGCATTTGCATTTGGATCCTGCAAAAGGGTGCACAGGGGCTGCTCAGTTGCGGGCGTGGTCTCCTGCCCTTCCACTGCCTTCGGTGCCCACTCAGAACCCTCGGGGTCTCAGGAAGCCTAGCACTTGGCGCTTGGGATCCCCAGGATGGGACAGAACAGCGACAAAGGACCTCCTGGGCACTCACCGTCCACGCCCGCGGCGCACAGCGCCAGGAGCAGCAGGAGCACAGCTGCGGTCAGGAGCCTCATGCTGGCCAGAGGGGCACGTTGCGCGGCACGGGAGCAGGGACAAGGGGAGGGCGCCGGCCCGTCTGAGCAGCGGCGGGGAGATGCCGCTGGCTCCGCTTTCTCTCTGCCTGGAGAGCGTCTCCGGCCTCTCTCGCTACACTGCGCCCTTCCGTCGGTGGGTGCCTCAGACTGTCGCTGCGCTCTGTGCTCTGCTCTAGGCTCGGCGCTCGCGCCACAGCCTCCCTCCTCCCGCCCAGGCCTCTTTTAAATCCGCTCCTGCCCTCGCAGAGAGTGAGCTCATTAATATGCAGAACCATTCAGTGACTCACTGAGATTTCTCAACAAGGTGGGGGGAGGAGACCATCCCAGCCTTCCCAGCCCCAACTTTAGTGCAGATGCACACTCCCAGCCACCAGCACACACACATTCACACACTCATCCATTACCCTTGCTTCCGCACACACTCTTCTGTACAACTTGCACACCCAGACTTCATCATGCGCACACAGCGGTGCCCTAGCTCCACTGGACAGTCCAGACATTGCTTAAGGGCACTGCTATTCTGATTTGCATGGTTCCCTCTGGCCAGAGGGACCTGTTCTTCTGAGCTGCTGGGAGACCCCGGCCTGTGGCCCAGATTTTCTGAGAAGAACTGAAAGAGTTTGGGGGCAGATGCCAGGTGTGAGTGCCAGCAGGCCTGACTCCTAGGGTGTGAGCAGTCCCAGTTGGGCCAGCAGCCCTGGTGGCCAGAGCACAAGGCCTGGTCTGGAGGGAGTTTGCCATAGGTTCTAGAGCAGCAAAGCTGCTCTGTGGTCACTGGAGCTGGCTCAAAGAGTATGTGTGTGGGGAGATTTGGTCACTCTTAGAGGTCACTTCCTAAAGTGGGTATGTGGCCCCTGGCTGTGCCAGCTGTGTGGGGGTTGGGAGAACCAGCAATGGTTCCTCACTATTACACCATTCTTCCAAAGCCATGCAGAGGTTCAGTAGGGAGATATGACAGTGATAACCATCTAGATGAAGTCCATGTTCCAGACATTGTGCCACACTGTGTGGTGTATTGGTGGGGGCCCAGGCATGGTGACAGAAGTTTGTGCTGCAATACTTACCAGTGCAAGTGAGTTCACTGCCATAAGCCTTCGTTTCATTATCTGGAAGTACCTGTCATAGGGTAGCTCTGAGAGCTACATAAGATCAGACATATAAAGTGTTTAACAGAATGGCTGGCCAGTAGTTGGTACTCAGGAAATGTTACTTATTGGTATTATTATATACATATATTATATTATATGTATACATTATTTTGATTCTTACAAGTCCCCTTCCAAGTTGATATTTTTAATTGTTTATTTGACAGGCATGGAAACAGGCTCAGAGAGAAGAAACTTGCCCAAGATCACGTAGTCTGGAAGCAGGTGGTTAGGCCAGGAGGGACCCCAGTATGTATGGCTGCAGAACTGGAGCTCTGTCCCTGGGCCACCCTACCTCCCTCAGGCATTTGGTGAAGTGCTACTTTGATAGACCTAGCAAGAGGATGGAGCTTCTTAGGCTTTGAGGATCCCTGGGTTTGGCTCCCAGGCGAAAGCTAGAGCCAGGGCAGAAGCTGCCAGGCTCTTCCAGTTTACACAACTCTGTGCTCTCAGCCCAGCAGCTTCCAGGGGATGAAAGTGCCCAGAGGAGATCCGGGGGGGATGGGATGGGACTGCCAGGATGATGAAGGGCAGAGTGGGAAGAACCTATGTTGTTTCTTCCCAGTTGGGGAGCCTTGGCTGCCTTGAGGGGAAGCTGAGCCATGAAGAGCCAGCAATGCCCGTAAGCTGGCTTCAGGCCATGTTCTGAGTCCTGTGTAAGCAGTTGTGTACCTATACTTAATGCTAGGCCAACAACTGGACACTTGGGTTTATACAGAGGAGAAGTGCAACGGACTGATTTTATATTAATTTAAAAAATATTTTAGTTGATTTTTAGAGAGAGAGGAAAAGAGAGAGAGAGAAGCATTGATGTGAGAGAGAAGCATCAATTAAATGCTGCCCCTACACGCTCCCTACCGGAGATCGAGTCTGCAACCTGATCATGTGCCCCCACTGGGAATCAAACTGCCAACCTTTCAGTGCATGGAACAACACCCAACCAACTGAGCCACACCAGCCAGGGCCATTTATGTTAACTTTTTAAATTTAAAATTATTTCTTCTTAATACAAAACCAGCACATTTGCTATCAGAAAATGCAAGCAGAAGAAAACACACACACACACAGTTCTACCTACTTAGCAATTTACACCAAGATGCTACAGTGTTATCTTTTTAAACCCTTCTCTCTTTGCTTGCATGCTTGTGCACAGAGATCAGTGCATGTCCTGTTCAATAACTTGCTTGTTTTACCTGTCACTATATCATCAACATGGTTCCACATGACTAGTTTTGCTTCTGCAATATCTATTTTAATGGCATCATTTGAAGACTTATAGCATAGTGGCTAAAAACTTGGTGTCTGGAGTCAGACTGCCTGAGTGCGAATTCTACCTACTAGCTATATGACCTTGCTTAACTCTTTTGGGTATTGATTTTCTCATCTGTGAGATGGTGATGATAATGGTACCTGCAGCACTGGGAAATTAAATGAGATGGTGCATGTGAAGCTTGTAACTTGGTCCCTAGCAGAGTAAATGCTCAATAAGTGCTGAGTATTGTTATTACTGTCATTTTGGATATAGCGTATTCCATTGTACAGAAGTCCCATGACTACTTCAGTTAACTCTCTGCTGGATATTTGGATTGTTTTCAAGGATATTATCTTACATGCAGTACTGTGTAATAGATATTCTTGGAGCTCAATTTTGGGATAGCCCGTTAAAAATTGGATTATGGCCCGGCCGGGTGTGGCTCAGTGGTTGAGCGTCAACCTAGGACCCAGGCGATCGGGGTTTGATTCCCAGTCAGGGCACATGCCTGGGTTGTGGGATTGATCCCCAGTCGGGGGCGTGCAGGAGGCAGCCGATCAGTGACTCTCTCATCATTGATGTTTCTATCTCTCTCTCCCCCTCTCCTTTCCTCTCTCTGAAATCAATAAAGATATATTTAAAATAAAAATAAAAATAAAAATAACAAAAATTGGATTATGTGTCAGAAATAGAATTTCTGGGCCTTGGGCTTGTTTTAAAGCTTTTGATGCAAATTGCCCTCCCCCAAATTTTTATTCTACAAAAAAGTGATTTCTTAGCTACCAAGCTTTTGTAAGCATGTTAAATATGCTTTTTTAAATTAAAAATGTTATTTCTATCATTTGTTTCAAGAATATGCTCATTAAGTGGGCTCTAACAGCACCAGGGATCATGGGCATGGAACCTTTATAGGGAGAAGTAATTGGCTCTAAAAATATGGACCAAAGTTTCCCAACTTCCTGGGTGAGACCAGAGATCAGACATTCCAATATTGTGTTCCCACTGTATTCTTTAGTCTATGTATGCTCATCTTTGGTTTGCGAAATACAACCATTGTGTCTTTGCAAACAGAGCTCACCCGTTTGCGAGAACAGTTCTGGGACCATGGGTACAAGAGAGGATGAAGGGCCTTTGCTGTCAGTGGGTCTGTGGGTGATACTGCTCAACCTGGAGAGTGAGGGAGGCTTGACTCCTGACATGCCTTCAGGGTGCAGACTCTCCGCTGAGCTTCACCTGGGGTCTTTGAGTAGATACAGGAGGCAGGGTAAGATGGACATGGGTGAGGCAGTTCTTTGCACAGTGGCACTGCCTAATTCAGGGGGATCCCTGTGGTGTAGTGAAGGAGTACATGCTCTGCTCTCTGGAGTGCATTCGTGTGTGTGTGTGTGTGTGCGCGCGCGCGCGCAGCTATTTATTATTATGCTGGGTTCTCTGGGAGGGGTGGAAGCAAAGTGTGGGGGACACAGAGGTAGGAGGAATTAGAAGCAGGATACTATTCCTTGAGGGCTGAGACCCTTGGGATTTGCTTATTTATTTTGTTCACATTGCTTGAGCAACCACTGCATGCCAGGCTCTGTGCAGGGTGCTGGAGATAAAAGGCTGTGCCTGTCCATAAGGAGCACAGAGTCTAGTGGAGAAGATAGACATTAATCAAATAACCAGAGATACACATGAAATTACCCTGGAGCTAGGCGTGATAAGGGGAAACTGATACTATGAGACTAACTAGGGATCTGACCAGGCAGGGAGGTAGGGATTGTGTCCCAGAGAAAGTGCCCACTGGGTTGGAATCTGAAGGATGAGAAGGAATTAACTAGGTGACAATGAGAGGGAGGCCACTCCTGCCCCTTTACCATTTCTGCTCCTTACACAGTGACCTCCTGGAGAGGGGGTAAGCCCCTGTTCAAAGCCTGCTGGCTCCTGATCTCACCCGGAGTCAAAGCTAAGTCCCCCCAGCAGTGTCCATAGACTCCTGGCCCCTGTGAGGAGCATTTACTACTCTCCCCATGGCTGTGCTCCACCACACTGCCTTGTGTTACCACTCAGACATGCTGAACCTATGCCCATCTTGGGATCTTTGTGCTCACTGATCCCTTTGCCCCAACTCCTCTTCCCCAGATGTTGGCAGGTGGCCCTCTTCTCCTTACCGAAGCCTCAGCTGGAATATTCGCTCTTCAGACCCAGTCACACTAGCCCCCTTTCCTCCCACTGCCAGCAGTCACTCTCTGTGCCATTGACCTATTTTACTTTCTGCATTGAACATTCCACAGTCTCATACTGCACTACTTTCATGTTTGTTTTGTTGTGTGTTATGGGTCATTCTGTGACCTTCTGGTTCTGTGAAGGTAGGGTCTGTGTCTGTCCTGTTCAACCTCATATAGTAGGGGCTCATTTTGAGTAAACAAAGGTGTATTTCAGGCAAATGCCCAGGGGTGTGAGAGAGTACTGCCAAATCCAATCTGTGTAGACTACAAGGCTGTGTGTGTGTGT